TTAAAAACGAACATAGGAAAAATGTTTTATAACCTTGGAGAGGACACAATCTTTCTAATTATGACCAAAAAATCCAGGACACATAAAATTAAAGATTGATAAATTCAGTCACATAAAAATAAAATAAAACAAGAAACACACACAAAAAAAGCACTAAAAAAAAAGAAAAATATTCATGGCAAAAACAATGAGGAAAATCAAAAACAAGTGACAAACTGGAAAAAAACTTGCAACACATATCACTACTCTAATATGTAAAGATCTCCTACAAATCATTAAGAAAAAGACTAACCAGAAAAATGGACAAATGATATGAATGGTTCACATTAAAGAAAATACAAATGTTTCTAACCCATATAAAAATGATGCTTAACCTCACTCATCTTGAGGAAAATACTAACTAAAATTCTACTGAGGTAAAATTTTTCACCTATCAGTTTAACAAAAATCTAAAAGTTTGATAATGCCCTATTTGGCTGCAGTGCAATGGGGACTTTCACCCATTGATGGTAGGAGTGCAAATTGGTGCGATCGCTACCAACGGCAATTTGTCAGTATCTATACAATGTAAATGCATAGATCCTTTATCCAACAATCCCGTTTTCAAAAATTTATCCTAGAGATCCACTTGTAAATGTATGATATGAGGTATATATATGGTTGCTCATTATAGCCTGGTCTGTAATATCAAGATAACAGAAATAATCTAAATGTCTATCAATAGGAGGCTTGTTAAATAAAATATGATACATACGGGGCACGTGGGTGGCTCAGTCGTTAAGTGTCTGCCTTCGGCTCAGGTCATGATCCCAGGGTCCTGGGATCGAGCCCCACGTCTGGCTCCCTGCTCAGCAGGAAGCGCGCTTCTTCCTCTCCCACTCCCCCTGCTTGTGTTCCCTCTCTCGCTGTCTCTCTCTCTCTCTCTGTCAAAAAATAAATAAAATCTTAAAAAAATATATGATACATACAATGGAACACTGTAACACTGTGAAAAATGAGGAAGTTCTTTGTAGATTGTTATGGGAATATCTCAAAGACACACTGTTAAGTAGAAAAAAAATAAAGCAAAGCATAGAACAGCAGGGTCTGGCAAGATGTATGCTAAAAATTGTGCCAAAAAAGGTATATATATATATATATTGGTATTGGCTGTTAAGGGCGTAAAAACTCCCTGGAGCAATAAGAAATTATTAATCATGAAACCTGTTGGGGAAGGGTGAGAACCAGGTGGACAGAGTTGGGAAGTAGTCTTTTCACCATATACTTTAGGCTATGCTTTTTGATGTTTAAACCACCTGCAGGTATTACTCATTCAAAAACTAAGTAATTCATGTTATTTATTAACATGTTAATGTAGTTTATGTCAGTTAGTAGACATTAATTAAACATGCCTATATAACCAAAAAACTGGGAAACATATTTGCAGTATATATGACAGAAGATGCTAAAACCCATACTGTATAGTTTTTTGTTTGTTTAAGTGAACATCTCAGGGTCACCTGGGTGGCTCAGTCAGTTAGTTAAGCATCTGCCTTCAGCTCAGGTTATGATCTCAGGCTCCTGAGATTGAGCTCCTCCTGGGACCGAGCTCCGCCTGAGGCTCCCTGGTCAGTGGGGAGTCTCCTTCTCCCTCTGCCCCCCTCCCTGCTCTTGCTCTCTCTCTCTCAGATAAATAAACTTTTTAAAAATAAAAATAAATTAAAAGTGAACATGTCAATAGAAAAATGGGCAAAGGATATAAACGGGATTTAAAAAAATCCCAATAGAAATATTTTCCAATATTTAATCTTAGCAAATAATGTGAATGGAAAAAAAGGTAGCATTTTAAAATCTTCCACCTTGGGCAAAGATCTTTTTTAACTAACAATACCCTCCCCCAAAATAAATAAAGTAAAAATACCCAGGATTAGTGTGAGGCCGAGACACAAACCCCCATTCTTGGTAGGACGTCGATCAGTACGATTTCTTCAGAGGGCAATTCAGCAATATATATCAAAAGCCTCAAAATTATTCATAACCTCTGGCAAAGTAATTCCACATCTAAGAAAGTCTTCCACGATAATCACCCCTGTCAGAACAAAGGCAAAGTGCCCAGTGCGTTGTGGCATTTAGCGCAGCCGGGTCAGAGGGGTGACAAGGGTGCCCTGGGTGGGGAACGGGGTCCCTCCGCAGGTCCCTCCGCAGGTGACGCTCAGCAGGCAGTGCTCTGTCTTGCTCCTGGCTGACCAGCTGGAAACCTGAAATTTGACACTAAGGAGTCATGCTTTGCTGCCACCTAGTGCTCCCCAGGTGATTGCCCCCAGCTGGCAAGGAAAACTTGCACCCAAGTAACTTAGCACCAAGGGGCCCTCCCCTCTATTTTTACTTAACATACACTAAAATAAAGCATTTACTATGTTCCGGGCATTGTGTTCAGCACTCCCTCTTAATCCTCTTAGCAGCGCTATCAAATACCTCACTTTACAGATGAGGGAACTAAGGTATAGAGAGGTTAGGTAACTTGCCCAAGGTCACATTGCTACCCAAGGGGCTAACACCAGGATTAGAGCAAGGTGGCATGTTGGCACCTGAGTCTGTGCTCTGAACCACCTCCTTTGCGACGGGCAAAGGTCTGTGTGATAATAATAGTACTCAAAGAGAACCTCACAGCCCATACAGCAACTGCCATCCCTTCCCCTAGCACATCTGGCCCAAATAAGTTCACGCAGGGACTGAATCCGCCTCTGCCAGATAGGCAGTCTAACGTGAGTCAGGGACAATCTATGGGCCAGGCTAAGTCCAGGGGGTTTAAAAAAATTAGTTGTAAAATATTTCATATATACAAAAAATATATAAGGAATAACCTAACAAATATTCAGGACCCACCAGCAGCTTTAAAAAAAAATAGTGTCTTCAGGAGTAATGCATCAGTGATGTGTTTTAACCCTTAGTTCATTGGCTTGTTTTCTGCCACTGTATTAACACACAAGGGGCACCAACTGGGCTATCCATGCAATGCGGCTTTTATAGCAATCCTACTCTTTCCTAAAATATAGTCCTCCCCCAATCACAGCTAATTGCATCCTGCTGGAGACATCTGCAGTTTCGGTACAAAGCAGTTGCTTCGTGGTAGAGCTGAGAAAGCGTCTTGAGTATATATTATGATTTAAGAAGATAGTGGCTTCCAACCAAAGCTGTGAAGCCCAGGGCTCTGAGGAGTTATTGAAAGAACAGGAAGCCCAAACGCGCAGGCAGCATTATTTGCAGACGAGAGTTATAAACCTGGCCTCCACTGACTCCTTAGCAAATCCATGACGTCCTGAAGTCACATGCAAAGTATCATGTGAGTGCCTTTTTTCCTTTCGGAAAAGGAAAAGGATCCATTCCCTACCTTTCATCAGTTTCCCAAAGAGGTCAGAGACCCTCCAAAAAGGTTATGAATCATTCCTACAGATCAGGGGCCGGCAAATGGCCCACAGGCCAAATTCTTCCTGATACTTGCTTTCATACAACCCTCAAGCCAAGAACGGGTTGTTGGGGTTTTTTGTTTTTGTTTTTTTGTTTTTGGTTTTGGCTTTTGAGAATAGTTTTTCTATTTTCAAATGGAAAAAATCCAAAGAATAATATTTCATGACATATAAAATTAAGTGACATTCAGATTTGTGCCCATAAAAATGTCTTACTGAAACGCAACCACACTCACTCATTTACATCGTGTCATGGCTGCCTCTGTGCAACAAGAGCAGAGCTGAATAGCTGCAACAGAGACAGACACAAAGCTGGAAAATGTACTATCTGGACCTTTTCTGAAAAAAATTTGCTGATCCAGCAGTAGATGGGACTAGATAGTACCTCTTATAAATATACGTGCCTCTACTTTTCACTTGTGTGTATACATGCTGTCATGATTAAGTACAACTTCATCTAAGTATATTATTAATGTAGTGGACGTTAGTCATTGGAACCCTCTTCACGAATTGGGGGAGTTCCCACCATGTGAGTCTTGCTGAGAGAGAGGTGGTGTCCCATACAGAAGGCCAACCTCTCCTTTCTCCCGCCTCCCTGGCACTCAGGGCATAGATATGGCCCTTGGGATTAGAGACCCCATCTAGGGCTCTGAAGCTGGAGTGAGTCACACAAAACAGCAGGGAGAGGAGAGATCATTCTGGCCGTAGCAGACACAGCAGTCACATCTAAGTTCCAAGGGCAGCAGGACCAGCAGGATGGGAGTGCCTGCAGCAATGACCCATTTCTAGCTGGTCTCCTCACTCGACAGTCCCTAAGGAATGGTTTTGTCTTTGCTTCTAGCTGTCTAGCCTCTGTGCCTCCCCGGCCAAGCCAAGCTCAGGCACTAGAAGAAATGGCCAGCATCATTCATGGCCTGCAGCAGAGGGGCTGAAGGCAGAGGTTGGTTAAGTACGCGCTCCGAGGGGACAGAGAGGGGCCAATCTGTCTTTGCATCCTTGGCACCTGATAGTGCTGGCTACTCAAGAGAGTGCTCACTAAAATATCTGTTGATGAGAGATACACTAGGGATCTCAGATTTCATTAGATTCCAGCCACCTGAAACTGGCAATGAGCATTTCATGTATCAGGGTCTCTTAAGAAGGGACTATAAAGACAGCCCTCCTCCTTAAACCCTAGCTATGGCTTCCTGGGTTTCCCAGACCATCAAGGCTCTAGTGATGAGAAACGGTCAGAACTTGAGGACTGATGTGAATTTGACCCTGGGCTATTAGTCTCAGAGCCCCTCTGATGATACCTGCCCTATCTTTTAGAAGCAGAGAGCCAGTCAAAAAGCACACATGTATGCGCACGTGTGCACTGGCTGGGAGAACATGAAACAGGGTACACACTAGGTACGCTTAGTTCTGGACCTGGCCCTCCATTGAGGACTGCCATGAAGCAAGCAACTGGGTGTTGGTGCTAAGGCCCAACTCTGGTGGATTTGTCATTTGAAGGAAGTGATTACAGTGACAACTAAAAATCAGCAATACTTCATTACTTGTGGATCTACTTACATAGGCTGGGTGACAGATTTCTAATGACCTGGAAAAAAGAGAGGAGCCAATGAGAACTTTTGTAGCAAAAGATCGGGAATCAGTAGTGACATTTCCCCAAAGCTAGTGCTCCAGTGCCACAACGTCTGATTTTCCGAACAGCACCTTTCTTCGAAGAGGGAGAATGTGGGACAAAAGCTGGGCTGAAGACAGTGCAGACTTAGCAGAAGCCAAGACGGTTCCCACAAGACTTCTAGAACCAGTATGTTATAGAAGAACTCATTCTATTTTGTCCCTCACTATCCTTTGATACTTTGTTGAGAAGGTGTAATCTTCCTCTGCCCAACGGTGAAGATTTGGGCAGACAATTTCTGTCAGACAGTCTTCCCATCACTTTTAATCATAAAATCTCACTGCATTAAAGAATCTAGTCACATCTCATAGTCAAAACTACAACTTGGCATTAACTCTTTGGCTAATTTGGGTCCTGCTTCAGGCTTAAAACCTACAGCAGAGCAATGGGATACAGTCCTTTCCTCTTCTCCAGCCCCCCTGCTTGCTAGTTAGCCTACCACTGCTTTGGAGGCTGACGAGGGAACAATACTCGAGATAGGATAGTTCTTAGCTGGTTGGCTTTGTGCTTTTGGGGCCTACCTGGTGATTAGGGCTGGCTCCCTCTTGGGTTGGTACTTTCATGAGCTTACCAGAGGTCCCTGCTGTACACCTTGACCCTGACAAATGCATCCCCCCGCCCTTGCTGTCCTCTCTCCTCAGTTCTGGGGCACCAGGCAGGACATGTTCAGACCCTTTCCGTGGAGGTCTCCTTGGCTCTGCTGATGGCCTATTGGACAATGTCAAATATGACCCCACAGCACAGTCCATGAGAAATAGTCATGCATACCGTGCCCTGAGGGCTCTGTCATCAGAGTCATTGGCCTTGCCTCTCTTGCCCTCTAGACTTCCTAGGCAGGAATCAGCTTGCCTTTGGCCCAGCCTTCGGTCCTCTTCCACCTTCTTCCTCAGACCTGAGCCAAGCACCGGTTTACTGGATCGCCCAACTGCAGGGAACACATTTCTAAACTGTCTGAGTTGTCCCCTTGGAATTCCCCTCAGCAGATAATGGTAGAAGGTGTCCCTTTCCTACCCTTCCACCAAATGGGGGCTGGAACTCAACACAGCAACAGCTTTATCCAAAAAAAAATCTCTTCATTAATCTTCTTATAAAATCCTGTTCTTTCAAAACATATATTCTCAAAGTGGATAAAAGGGTTCAAGAGCCATGGAACAAGTTCTCCTATTTTTCCCTTTGTATCCTCTATTAAATTTCAGGCAGAAGAGCTCCATTCTAATAACCTATTATATTAGTTACTTATTGCTATATAAAAAATTACCCCAAAACTTAGTGGTATAAACAATAAACATTTATTATTGCTCACAGCTTCTCTGGGTCAGGAATGTGGACGGCTTAGCTAGACAGTTCTGGCTCAGGGTCTCGTGAAGTTCCAGTCCAGATATCAGCTTGACTGAGGCTGGAGGATCACTTCTAACATGGTTCACTCACATGGTTTGCAAATTGGTGCTGACTGTTGGTGCAAGGCCTCAATTCCTCTCCTTGTGGAATTCTCCACAGGGATGCTCGTGTGTTCTCAAGATGCAGTAGCTGGATTCCCACAGAGTGAGAAATTCAAGAAATCAAGATGAATGTAACAACACCTGTTATGATCTAGCCTCAGAAGTCACACACTGTCACCTCTGATTCGTGATTAGCCACACCTAGCAGCTTTGATTCAATATAGAAGGAAATACATAGAGGCATGAAGACCAGGAATCAAGGATCACTGGGAAACATCTGGGAGGCCACCTTCCTAACCACACCCTGTTACATACACTTCAAATGATCATTATCCCCTAAAATAAACTGAACAAAGTTCAAGTAAAGAAGAAACCATAAATTTAGATTGGTTTAATCAAAACTTCTCTGGGGACTTCTTGATCTTCAAAATTACGTATGTTATCTGGCCCACTCCACATCTGATCCTCATCTACAAATGGGTCCAAGACTATCCTTGAAGGCAGGGCCTACTCCTGATTTTAAGGGTTCTTTCTGGTTCTCAGATTTCTGATTCTACATAATAATCAGAAAATAAAGCTTTGTAAATATCTTTTAGAGTTGGCATTTACACTAAGGTGTATAATTCAACAAAAACATTCTAAGGTACATCATTACAAGAATCATCTCTGCTTTATTTATGCTACAATGATTTAAATTGAATACACTTGGGCACAGTAAATATTTGACATGAAAAGTAGTTGTTATCAGAAGAGGCACCAGAAAAATAGCAACTCATCTGACACATAATCACTAGAAAATATTTTTCTGTCCAATCACTTAAGTGTTATAAATCCTGAGAATGTTATACACTGAACAAACTAGGTACTACTTATAATTAAATCTTGCTTGCAAATCATCTGTTAAAAAAACGCCTTGAGGTACAAATCACCTATGTATTAAACATGTCTTTTACATTTTACGAAGAATTTAAACAAAAATATCAAACAATTAAAGTTAAGTGGCTCTTAAAATAGCTATTAGTCAGGCTCAAGAACACACTGTTCCACAATCTCCCGTAAGTTGGGGTTTTCCATTGCAGCTGCCACTCGCTCTTTGTCATTTATCTGCTTGTTGACTGTAAAACACAGACAAAAGTTAGCTGAGGAACTGTGTCAACATATAGTGACAGACAAAAATTTTATTAGCCCATTAAAACAGAATTTAACTCCTTGATAACTTAAAGCTAGCTCACTTTTTATAAGTTCTACCAGGGAGACTTACAGAGAAAAATACCCCCTAAATTCCTACTACTCTATCACAACTATTTTCATTTCTTTCTTTCTAGTCTTCGTCCATATACATTATTTCCATATAGAGTAAAGAGTAAATACAATTTTGAAAATTGCTATTTTTTCCCCGTAAGCCTATTTTTTAAACTACAGGGTTATTTAAAATAGCAAAAATTATAAGCCTTCTAAATTAATTATGGACACTATGCTACACAGAGCACCTTTATATATACAGCCTTCTTTTTGGAAAGATTCTTAAAACTGGCATTATTAGATCAAGGGGTATGAGTATTTTTATGGTTTGATTCTTATCACTGAATTATTTCCCAACATTTTTTACTAATTGTATTGTCAGCAACAATACATGAGCTATCAGTTTTCAAAAAATATCTGGTATTATTAATAAAAACAAACATACACACACATAAAACAGCAGGTGAAAAACGGCTCCTTATTATTGCTATAATTTGCAATTCCTTGATAAATAGTGAGAGAACATTTCTCTATGTTTATCTATTAGTTCTTCTGTGAATTTTCTGTCCATCTCTGTTAATCTACTGGGTGTTTTATTTTTTAATGAGCTTGCATGGATCTTCATATAATAAAGGTATTGGCCCATATCTTCTGTCTATAATTTGCTAAAAGCACTCTCAAAGTAAGAGTTTAAAAGAGAAATGTCCTTATTCTTTTCTAGACCTTCAATTTCAATTTCAAGTACACAGCTCTCTATCTTGCACCAAAGAAAAAAAAATCGAGCCCTCTTTAGAGTTTATAAGTCAAGGTTCCTAGAGCTGGATATTCTTTAGAGATGTGCAGCTACTAGCCTAAATCAGCCAATATTCGCAGGGCCTGCTCACCTAGAGTCCTACTGAAAAATTACTTTCTTGAAAAGTGTACGTTCCCCACCTAAAAGAAGAGCTAATAACTAATTCTTCACTTTTTTGCAAATGACCTGTAGATACTTGGATAGCAGAATAACAGTATCCAAGATGAAGTACTATCTGAAGTTGCTTTTTAATGGGTCAAGATTGACTTACTGTCTTCCTCTGTTGAGTGGGTTCCTTCAGAAATGTAGATTTCCAACTAGGAAGAAAAAAATATTAAAACCAAAACATTTAGAACAATCTAAGATAACAAATGAAGTGAAATGCACAGTGGACTCAAGTGTCTAGGAATGAAAGCCCAAATAGTGTTCTTAACATCAATGACTTAGGGACAAATCCCTCCAAAACTGGGACTGAAATTAGTCGATTTTTTTTAAAGATTTTATTCATTTATTCATGAGAGACAGAGAGAGAGAGGCAGAGGGAGAAGCAGCCTCCCTGCTTGGAACTGTGTCAACATATAGTAATAGACAAAAATTTTATTAGCCCATTAAAACAATGGGGGACTCAATTCCAGGACCCTGGAATCATGACCTTAGCTGAAGGCAGACGCTTAACTGACTGAGCCACAGTCAGTTAAGGGGCCCTGAAATTGGGATTTTTTAATTTTGGTCACCTGTGGAAGGCCTGCAGGGGGTATTCCAATTACTTTAATGAATATACACAAATAAAATTTTACACAAATGAGATCTCTTTAAATTTTTTATTGTTATGTTAATCACCATATATTACATCATTAGTGTTTGATGTAGTGTTCCATGATTCATTGTTTGTGCATAACACCCAGTGCTCCACGCAGAATGTGCCCTCTTTAATACCCATCACCAGGCTAACCCATCCCCCCACCCCTCTCCCCTCTAGAACCCTGTTTGTTTTTCAGAGTCCATCGTCTCTCATGGTTCGTCTCCCCCTCCGATTTACTCCCCTTTGTTCTTCCCCTCCTGCTATCTTCTTCTTTTTTTTTTTTCTTAACATATATTGCATTATTTGTTTCGGAAGTACAGATCTGTGATTCAACAGTCTTGCACAATTCACAGCGCTCACCATAGCACATACCCTCCCCAATGTCTATCACCCAGCCACCCCATCCCTCCCACCCCCCCACCACTCCAGCAACTCTCAGTTTGTTTCCTGAGATTAAGAATTCCTCGTATCAGTGAGGTCATATGATACATGCCTTTCTCTGACTGACTTATTTCACTCAGCATAACACCCTCCAGTTCTATCCACGTCGTTGCAAATGGCAAGATCTCATTCCTTTTGATGGCTGCATAATATTCCATTGTGTATATATACCACATCTTCTTTATCCATTCATCTGTCAATGGACATCTTGGCTTTTTCCACAGTTTGGCTATTGTGGACATTGCTGCTATAAACATTGGGGTGCACGTACCCCTTCGGATCCCTACATTTAGATACACATAGGAATACACAAAGATCCCTATCTTTGTGGTAAATACCCAGTAGTGCAATTGCTGGATCATATGGTAGCTCTATTTTCAACTTTTTGAGGAACCTCCATACTGTTTTCCAGAGTGGCTGCACCCGCTTGCATTCCCACCAACAGCGTAGGAGGGTTCCCCTTTCTCCGCATCCCCGCCAACATCTGTCGTTTCCTGACTTGTTAATTTTAGCCATTCTGATGGGTGTGAGGTGGTATCTCATTGAGGTTTTGATTTGGATTTCCCTGATGCCGAGTGATGTTGAGCACTTTTTCATGTGTCTGTTGGCCATTTGGATGTCTTCTTTGGAAAAATGTCTGTTCATGTCTTCTGCCCATTTCTTGATTGGATTATTTGTTCCTTGGGTGTTGAGTTTGATAAGTTCTTTATAGATTTCGGATACTAGCCCTTTATCTGATATGTCATTTGCAAATATTTTCTCCCATTTTGTCAGTTGTCTTTTGGTTTTGTTGACTGTTTCTTTTGCTGTGCAAAAGCTTTTTATCTTGATGAAATCCCAATAGTTCAACAAATGAGATCTCATACATATTTTACGCATGAATCTCTCTACCCTACACTCTACCTCTTCCTCCCAAATCAGTACCTAAAATATCTAAACTTCCTCTCTACCCTAAGCCCCAAGAAAGTCATATTAATGATCCAGTGTAGTTTATTCCGTATTTTTCTTCATACCTACATAATGGAATACAGATTTTATATACACACACACACACCCCAAAGTTGGAAGTTTCTTTTCTTTGCTTATTTTACAAAAATGGGATCACAATATAGTTTTAAGTATCCTCCTCTTCTCATTTATTATTATCTTGCTAAATTTACTCTCAAGTATAATATTGGTTAAGCTAAACCTCCTGGACCTGCTGCATTTCCTCAGATTAGTTAACCTCCAAGAACTAGACCTTCTGAGACAAACCCACAAAATCCTGTGACAAATAAAACATGCTGTATGATAAAGACATGTCTACTCTCCAGAGAACCCTGGAGTGTATGAACTAATTCTTACACAGTTATTTTACTACTAAGATAAATGTTTTTCAAGAGTGAAAAAAAAATCATACCTTATTATGGCTAAAAGAGACCCTAGAGATCATCTAGAACAGTCTTTTTTAAAAAACAAAACACCTTGGGGCGCCTGGGTGGCTCAGTCAGTTAAGCACCGACTCTTGATTTTGGCTGAGGTCACGATCTCAGGGTTAGGAGATTGAGCTCAGCGCCGGACTCTGCGCCGTTATGGAGTCTGCTTAAGATTCTTTCTCTCCCTCTGCCCCTCCACCCCGCCAAAACACCATATGAATTCCTCTAGCGGCTAGTGGCATAACACTAACTCTTAT